AAGTTCACTTCAACCATTGTATATATTACAAAAAAGAGCGATAAGAATTGTGCATAAGATGGGGTATAGGGATCACACCATTGGAGCTTTCATACAGTCTAAATTGTTAAAACTTTTCGATTTAGTGGGATATAAGACTGCAGTGTTTATGTATAAAGCCAGGAACAATTTATTACCTGCTGGAATTCAAAAACTATTTAATGAAAGGGAAGGGGGATACAATTTAAGGGGTCAGTTAAATTTAAAAATTCATGCTATACGTACAACCAAAAAAGATTTTGTATTTCTATAAGTGGGGTAAAACTGGAATAATTTAAGTGTAGACATAAAAAATAGTAATAGAATTGATGAGTTTAAACATAAATATAAAGGTATGTGTCAATCAAGATATATGCAAGAACAGGCTTAATGATTAATTACATGAACAATTGTGGGTGTGGTGTACATTTTATAATAATTCTTTTGTATATTAATTGTGTGATGTAAGAATGTTAACACTATTATAATCTTTTTTAGTATAATATGTGTGTGGGTAGAAGTGAATCATTTACTGCTTGTAAACCAATGATGGTAAGATGATGTCATGGGGTAGGACTGGATAAGTCTGACTTCTTCCTACTCCATTCAAGCATGTACTAGGTATAAGCACATTGATATTGGATTATGTGTAAAATTATATGTGTTGTCATATCAACTGTTTTACATGCTTGAAAGAATAAATCAAATCAAATCAAAAGATGTGCGATTTGGAGAGGTGAAAGGGGCTGTACTGGGGTAGGGCACATATTGTAATGGACTGCCCACTATCTTCATCAATAAATGAATGTACTGTGTAATAATTACAATGAGTGCTTCCAGATTAACAGGTATTTGTCTAGAGTTAGCCCCCAAAACAGAGGAAACCAAACATTATCTTCCTTTCCATAGTTGAAGTGTAACATGTCAGTCTCTCTTGGACAACAAAATAAGTTTTCCCATGTTCACAGCATGCCTGTGGAATATTCCGCCAAATACAGATCATAGTTTACTAACGATTTTGCAAGTGTTTTGTGTACAAATTATTCATGCATGCTGGTCATAAATTATTTATCAGGTGGATGGGGTTTGTTTTGCTGAGCAGATTTGTCCATAAGTGTATGAAGGAAAATAATGTGTGTGTGTGTGTGTGTGTGTGTATGTGTGTGTGTGTGTTCGTGTGTATATTCACATGGAGAACGAAAGAGACCATATGTGACACAAAGTGTAATGTATGTGTGTGAATGTCAGAGCCTTATATTAGCATGGCAGCCAGCTGCAGTGTCAGATGTTCAGTTGGCAGGGCAGCTGAGTGCCCAATCCTCGCGTTGTTACTAAGGCACAGGAGGATGGTGCGGGAAAAGATGAGTTAACAAGATGATTCACTTCCCATCAAAGGGACCAGAAGGCTGTTACCATTAGATTAAATTGCTTTGGAGAGTGCCTTATGCAGTTCAATAAAAGAAGAGGGGCATTTTGGTGTAAAGACACTACTTCCTCTTGGATGGGAGTTTGTCCATAGATGAAAAACAAAACTAAAACAAAATGTCTGGTTAACAGCTGTTTCCACTGAATGACTGTTTGACTCCTTTCTGCTGCCTTTTCCTGGTCTCTCTGCTAATTCAGTATGTTGATAGTAAGAACAAAATGATGATGACACATGAGTCAAATTTAAAATAGTCTATTATACTGAAGTTTAAGTCAGTATTGCAGGAGAGCCTTGTGGTTTTGTGTTTAACACCTCTGGCAGTTTAAGTAAATCCAAAGATCCAAAGAATCATGCAAGGAAACATGCAGTTAATGCTGTTAGTAATGTCTTTTCATTAAAATTAAACTTGACGCCTTTTGATAATGGTTCTTTTGATAATGGTTCTTTTGATAATCTATTTTGATGACTCACCTAAATGCAGTAATTTCATTCAGTCTTATTGTTTTGAAGCAGCCTAAGGAGAATAGGTCTGTGGTTAATTTACAGTAGAAAGCAACACTGAAAATTCAGCCTGCCTCAGTGGTGCTTCTGTAAAGACCACTCCTGATGAGTTTATAAATCACATAGTTTTCATTGGGAATGTGGGATACAACAACATACACTGCAAATTGTAGGCCTACAGTATGCTGGCTGTGTATGAACTGATTAGCGCTGAGGCCTGGATGTTTCATTTATCCTAGTTGTATGTTACATTATGCAACATATCAAAAACAAATTAGCAAAGAGCTATTCATATCCTGCCTCTTTCCTCTCCTCTGCAAAATTTTAATAACAGATTTACAAAACTGTAAATGTAATAGGCTACTTAGGAAAATAATAACTACATAGAATTAATGTTAGAAAAATGATAAGCACTGCTCTTGTACTAATCATTTGAAACTGGTAATTCAGATATTAAGACACATTTATATGTTTGGACCTGATTGCAAAAAAGGTTAGATTGAAACATTTTTTGGCATCCTTCTCTATGGTCGTAACAGTGTCAGTGAATTTGAAACATCTTCACATAGTCTATAAATAAGAAATCATGGTAAAATGACCCGTTAAGGTGTGTTGTAGCAACAAGAGCATTGCTGGCAGACAAGAGTCTTCTCGCGAGACCTGAGACTTTGGTTGTTGTGGACATGAAGCTGCAAAGTTTTTGTTTGTGCTTAGCTGGCGTTAGTGTAAAACGTATCATGTGCTTTAATCAACTTATTCACAAACGTTAGACAGGCTTCGTGGCGATGAATACCTTCTTGAACATTTGCACACAGTTTGACTCTTCTTCTGCAAGAAAGGGCATGAGACTTCCGCATCCGTTAATTTTGATTTCGCGGGTCAGCACAAAAGAGCTGGCGTTAAATCGATTTTTTTTGTTTAGAGTTGAGATATTGCACACCATTTTTGACAACTTGTAATTTTCCGTAAACTCATGCCACCATTAATTCGGCGTTTAAACGGATATTTGAACACTTGGTTAATCTGTTTTTGCGTGTTGTCACGACGGGGCAAAAAGTCACCACGGTGCTATATCAAGATACAAGCATGTCACTGTTGTTTGTGGTAGAGCAAGCTATCAAGTCATACAAAGCTGAACAAGCCAAGATTAATGAAACTATTCAACGCTACAGAGAAATATTGCAGACATTGTAAGTAACGTTACTGTACTTCTTAGTTATTAATCCGACTGGTTTAGAGAGCTTTTGTGAACAGTCTCATTTGCGCCGAAAGATAAACTCATTTTAGGTTTACAACTACAAAACAATCATAACAAAGAATAATTATCCATGTAATGTTAGTTAGCGTATAGTTTTGTCATATTCAAACAATGTAACAGTTGCTGATGTTTGCTCTTATGTGCTCTTGGTCCCAGTTTCTATCTCATGTATGGAGTGTGGCCTGATGTAAAGTGGGGCCAGGCAGAAGTTGTTACTGAATTAGTCCAAAGCCCTGCACTTATTTCCATAATTAACCTAGTTCTGAGGTCATTCCTTATGTGGCGCTGTGGCTTAGTTGGTTAAAGCGCCTGTCTAGTAAACAGGAGATCCTGGGTTCGAATCCCAGCAGTGCCTTTTGCTGTACTGAGTGGTTTTATTTACTCTGTTGGAAGTAGCGGGAAACATTTTGTACTACCTTTGGAGACATGCAAGAACACCTTGTACATAAAGACAGTTCACAATAAAACAATATTCATTTTCCTGTAATCTTTTGGCACTTTTGCTTGAATAATTACTGTAAATGATAGCTCAATTATCAAAGTAGTTGGTAACGTGTTTTACCATTACACAGTTACACCCACCAGAAGTCACTGAAATGATTATTTTGTTAGCTTTATAACTGTTTATATGATGTGTTTATATTCAAGAAATAGTACGGGCCAATATATTGTGACAGGATTAATATCAGCACTAGGCTCAAAAATTCACTATTATTTCAGTGGTAAACTGTATACATCTAGACAGAAAATTTTCATCTCTTAACAGAAAAACCTAACAAAATTGTACTTTCAACTTAATTGCAACTTAAAATTTGCTTGGTAACACCTAAAGTCACATTACGTTTTTTTCTACAGAACACAACCTAAGATGGACTCTGAAGAGCCAGAATGTGCAGCTGCTGCAGGTAATTTCAGATAAATAAAATTATGAAATATAAAAAAACAAACACCTGATGTAACATTTAAAAATAATAATTTCAGCATTTTTGGTTAATGCAGTCAATTAGAGAAAGATGAAGGCAGTCATGTATAATGTTATTATGGTTTTTATTAGTGACAGTTCTCTCTTTCACACCTTTCAGGTCCTATTTAATCGTATGATCTGTAAACTAATTGTGTGTGATCTTAAATCAATATGTGTTAACTGTTCCATGTCGCCAATTTTACCAAGGTTGCTTATGTAAGAGAGGTAATCTATCTAAAGAGACTTGTATCATGCTTGAATGCTGTCTTTAGACACAAGAACCTCAGTGGCAGAGATGGAAGATATAGAGCTGCTTGAGCGAGCACTGGAGAAAGCCCTTCAGGTCCGCACTGGCTCAGCAACCTCTAAAAAAGACCCTGGCAGAAACAAGCAACCCGGACTTCGAAAGGAAGCAGGCACTGCAACAGTCACATCCAAAGATGTAACACAGTCATCTGCAGCATCTAAAGGAAGTCAAACAACCATCCGATCAACCTCAAAGTCTGCCAGTCTTAACAGAAAACAGCACAAAAAGCCTGGGTCATCAGTGCCTTCAGCTAGGTGCAGTTCTGGACAGTCCAAAACCACAAATAATAGAAACATAATCCAGAACCATCCTGTCTCATCAGCTTGGGTTGTGCATCACCAGGCAGCCAACAAATTGCAGCAGACTGGTTCAGCATCTGGCTCTTTTGATCACAGCTCAACCTTGCACTGTAACAACAAGACTGGTAGAAGCAATGTGCAGAGCGTTGATGACCTGGACAAAGCTGCAGCTATTTCCACACTTTCTTCAACTGACACAATGCCATTTTCACACACAGATGAGTCTGGAGCTCACAGTTTACTTCAACACAGTGGGTATGTTTTTACAGAACTGGAATATGACAATAACTCTTCTGTCAGATGGAAGGGGTGAATATATGTTTTCTGTCCTACTGTAATCATTCTGTTTGCCTTTGCTTCATGACAGCATACCTTCTGAGCAGACGGCAAAATGGAAATCTTTACATAGCAAGCAAAACAGGTGGACAAAATCAGATTGTTCATTTTGTGAGAACATTACACTTCATTGCACACTTTTGGCAATAAACCTAATTCTCTTTAATATCCTGAGGTTGTGGGACAAAGTTCTCACCTTACAACGGAAACCTGTGCCTGGGAGGAGTCGCTTCATGGAGAGAATGAGAGCTACGGTATCCTTCCTTTCTCTAGTGAAACCTGTCAAAATGGCTTGGGAAGCCTTAAACAATGTTTTCCATGCTGCGTAATGCTGAACTTGGGAAGATATTTATTTAGAATCCCACTGCTACTGATTGCCAATACCCTGCTATAGGAAATTAACAGAGCATGTTTTGGAACAAATTTGATTTAACACTTTTTTTTCCTCTAAAAATTTTCCATATCCAGTTTGTCATCCATGACCCTGTCCTTCTGACCCCTATAGTTCCCCAAGGATTGGCCATGTGGTAGCCCAGATCAGACCAGGGCTCTGGTTGACAGGCTGACTCACCAAGGCCATGATCTCATCCAGTGCTACCAAACAAACGCGCTTTTGGCCAAGCAGACCCCAGAAGTGGCCACAGAAATGGGTAAAAGCTTGAGCAGAATTACACATGCAAACCCAGTAAATTAGGAGTAAAGGAACAAGGAGAGATGAAGTAGATTGATGACACAAGTGTGTGGGTGAGAAGATGATAATTTGGGAATAAACAGCACAAGGAGTTGGCAAGAAGTGACTGTGTCAGAGCTATATAAACTGATATATTGGTGTTGAGCCTTTCCTCTACCAGTTATGCTGAAGACCCTGGACTATGCATTTGAGATTGTTCTGAAGTTCTTACAGTTAACATGAGACTAATTAGCATAGTGCAATTAAACTAATCATCTTACCTTGCTTCTGCAATTATGTTGCCACTGTAATTCTAGTTTATTCTAGTTTATTATTATTATTATTATTAAATGATTCCAGCCTGACACCTGAAAGACTGCAGATGACAGCAGCAGAGCTCCATGACTTTGCACAGCAATTGAAACAAGGTAGGAATCCAGTTTACCCACCTACCTTTCCAAATGATTCCTTTCTACATTAATTACACATCAACCTCACTTTTGTTATGTGAAATTGTTGATGAGCAGGGGAAAAAAATGATTTATTCTATGGCACAGAGTTACAAAGAGGTGGAGAAATTATGGCCTTGTATTTGACTCTGGTTACCCAGCACTGTTTTAATTAGGATGTCAGGGTGTCATACCTACAGCATGTAGCAGTATAGTTTCTGTGATCCAGTGATAATGAAGCTAAATATTCAGAGATTTTCCATTCACACCACTCAAATATGTAACTGTACCACTGTCAGGAAGGGCATTTTTTTTATGTTTACCAGTTATAGCTCCAGTGTGGTAAAAGTGTGTTGCTAAAGCCAGTGTAAGAGAAGTTTCCAGTGATTTCTGATTTCCTGCTTAGCCTACACACCTCCATCTGGTGTTGTGACCATATGAATTTAATCTAGCATCTCACATCCGAGGTTCAGCAAGTGTGTTATTTCAGTTTTATATTCAAGAGAGGAATTTATTGTGTACTGCATTTTAACAGCACTTGAAAGATGATTGTGAAGAAGCGTGCTTACGGGCCAATGCAGTATCTCCGTCTTGGCATATGGAAAATCAAAACAGAGCTGCAGTGAAGCCTCAGTGCCAGATTAGTACTTTCCTAAGCTTCAACAGATCCTCCTGCCTGTGACGCTTGGGTTTTAAATCTGTCGATCCTGACGTGGCTCGGCAAGGGCCTGGCTATTTAAAGCTGAGGCAGCAGTGTAGAAAAACATTTTAGGGTATGGTTGCTCCCACTCACTCTCTAAAAATAACTATATTTTCCATCAGACTGGGAAGAATGGGATCGATGGAGGCCAGAGGGTGGTTGTCTTTGCCCCACTGGGACAAATTGTGTGTGGGGAAATGGGATGAATGGACCCTTGCCCTTGACGATAACATACACAGCAGAGGCAGAGCTCCGAGAACTGGAGAAGCTGAGAATGCGAGTGGCACTGCTGCATCAAGAGATTTACCTTGAGCGTGTAAGGACCCCCCTTTTAAATTATAAGTATGTCTTATTTGTTCTGTTAAATTAGATAGTTGTTGTTCTGTTAAGTAGTAGTCAGTACCAAGAAGAGTAATATGCTTACAGTCTTTTCTTCTATGTGACAGGTTCTGTTGGACACCCTGTCCCCTCAGCTTTCAGCTATAGTACCTGGTCCTGAATGTCCCAACTCCAGTGTGCTAAGAGGCATGTATTCCCTGCTGAGTGAAGGAGGGGAACGTTTCCCTGCCGTGGTCCTGGATACTGAGCCTGACTGACCACATAACATACATTATTACTCTGAGCTGCCAGTTTATGAGGTTCTCTGTTCTGCCCCATTTATATACATAAGAGAAATAATATAAACACCTTTCATTATAAAGAAAGACCAATACTGTTCTGCCTCTCAATACAACTAGAACATTGTAAAGGTCCCAAAAATGAGATTACTTTCAGGACCATTATATTAGATTGCTTTAGATTAAACAGGGGTTCCTAATAAAGTGGTAGCTCAGAATATGAATCAAGTATCTAGGTGATTATTGTGATGAATATTTTTGTTGACTATACTGACTATACTATAAAAAAAAATCAGGTTTGTGATTATTTTTCTTCTTTACTGTTGTTTCTGAGTGAGAAGTGTTGTACTTATAATAACCCACTGTGAAAATCACATATCTCCAAAGCCATAAACTTTTTATGCTGCTAAAAAAGCCTTGATTTCAGTTTTGTGACTGAATATTTCAGATAATCCAGTAGGTTTTTTAAAGTAGTTTATTTAGCTCTAGAAGCAGAATGTTTTCAACTCATAAAGGAGCCCTTAACCTCCAGCTTATCGTAAATATTCAAAATTTCAGAAGGCATGCTGTTTCTCAGGAAAACAATGATTTATAAATGTTGACATCTTATATTCCATATACTACATTATATCAGCATGTAGCAAAATTGCAATTGCTCTTATATGTGTCTTAGTATTTCAGCAGGTCAGTGTTTTTTCATGTTTATATATCTGATTTTATTTTTGTATAATTGTACTCCATAAAAGCTATTAACCTAGAATTGTTTTAGATGGAAAATCCTAAAGTGGAGTCACTGATGGGATCTTGCAGTGCAGACTGTGTCAGCAGGTGGCACTCAACTCAAAGAAGTTTGACCACAAACACATTAGCAGGTGACTAATGTTAACTTATAATGTCACTGTTATTACTGTTTCATCAATTGGGATTCAGTCAGTGACCTACAGTTACAAGGAGAAATGAGACAAGTTTCTCAGACAGTACTAGCAGTGCTGCAACCCTGCTGGTCTGTGGATTTAAATAATGTTACAGAAAAATGGAGGTGGTTCATTCAATTTTAATCCTGTATTTCACTGAAAACAGTAGGGAAGACCTGACATCATGCTCATCTATCTGGCAAATCAGAGCTTAAGAAAAGCTCACAGTGTGATTGTTCACTATGAGGTGGACCTGCAACCTTTTCACGTCAGTGTGGGTCATGTCAGCCATGGCCTACCGTACCGCCTATTGTTTGATTTCCATGCTCTTATAACCTTTCTTATGTGGTCAGAGAAAATTGGGAGTTGTGCTTTTGCCAAAAATTAAAAGATGCAGGAGGGCTTGGAGAGGCCTAAAAGGCTCGTGCCCACAGATGACGTGTGGATGGCACGGGCTGTGGCAGACGGGGCAACAGGTGGCGCTGGGTTTACACAGCAGGTCGTGGGTGTTTGAGCCCTGTTGCACCAACCCTCAAGTACACACACACAGGGACATGTACACCCGAAGGCGGCTGAGTCACAAAGACGATGCACTTTGTGGCCTGGTTCGCTGCATGCCTCAAGCTGAAAATGGCATGTTTCCGTGAGGAGAGGAATAAAAAGGGGATTACAACAGAGAAAGGACTGTTTCAACCTCACATGGTTACCTGTAGCTCAAAGAACAGCACAATAATTCAAGCAACTCCTCCTGGCTTAAATGAGTAATACACCTCCATGTTTGCAAGGCCTCCTCTGTTCTAGCACCACAAGTGTTTCACCGCTTGTGGACTGCAGCCAAGTCATCTGTATGGAACTGTAGCAGCGTGCTGCAGGCTTCTGCTCTGCTCATACAGTCATGGATCAGTGTGTGTGAAAGAAGTAAAGGAGGAGGCAGGGAAGCAGTGCTAAGAACACGTCAACACAACACAGGTCCCAGTGGGAGTGGTGCCTACGCAACTCATCCTTCCTGTGACCTGCATACATCAGCTGCTAGCTGGCTCTGGCTGTCACCAGCAGAGCTTTTCCACTCCCACCCCTGCCCAGGTTAGCCATGTCTCACGCCTTTGTCCCGTATTTCTCACACTTCTTTTTGTCACACAGTGGAAGAGTCAGTGAAATTTTAGTTTCCATGGAGGAAGCTTCATTTTCTTTCCCATGTCTGCACTGCTGTATGGCACATATACTCTCATACAGACATGGGCAAAGTTGAATGGATTCTTCATTATCATACACATTCCTTCCTACTTGTTCACTTTTTTAGCCTTAGTGTAACACTGGAGTCTGAGTACAGATCCACAGAAACTGAACAGTGCTACCAAGAATCTGCCTCTCTCCTTCAGTGCTCATTTACTATTGAACATCTCTTTTTTCTCGCAGCCCCGCCCCTCACAGAGCCATTCTCCACTTCTCCTGTTTTACATGTGTTTAGTTGCCCATTAAGCTACAGTAGAGGATTGTTAAGGCAATGTGGTCATCATTTAGGCTGCATTAGGGTTTATTATTTGATTTTCCCCATGATTCGGCCAGTCCATGCCAGCCTTATCTGTCCAATTACTGTTTTTTGTCAAAGCAAAGAATACAGTGTCTTAACTATTGAGCAGTTGTCCAGAGCAGACAGAGCCATGAGAACATTAGGTGTATCTTAATCTTTTGGGCCTTAAACAGTAAGAATACTTTGGTCTAACTATAAGTGGAAATCTTGTTGCTAAGCAGAAGTCATTCTAAATGCATAGAGGTGATTTTAAAACCCATAATTATAGTTTACTCGATGTGTTTTCTTGCACCCGCATCTCTACTCTTTTGATACCCAGGATGTCATGATGTTTTTGTGTATGCAGAGTTTCAAAAGATGAATTTTCAGACCTCTATTGAGATCATATTATTTTGGGGACATACAGTAGCTTTCATGCTTCTCAGACGCCTGTTGTCCCAGCACAGATGTACAACTCTAAATACAGTTGAAATCTCAGTTTGTAACCCCTATAAATGTATTCCAAAGCCATTCTGCATCAAATTGCCACTATCAATATTGAGTTCACAGTTTTACATTTTCAAACGAACCTGGGAAGGAAAAATAATATAAAATGTTGCCTTAGTATTTCCAGTAAAGCCTAAAGATAAAAACAGACATTTACACACATTATCCTACATGGAGGAGTAAGAATAGCACACTTACAGGAAGAGAACGGGCTGAGTTGATTTTCTTTTTGCAGAAGAGCGAGACAAGTATACTTGGGGGTTAACCACTTCTGGGATGCCTTCCATTCATAGAGGACTTGGCACCAGTATTGTGTGTGGGTGGGAAATGAGTGGGGGCTGCCGGTGTTTCTGTCACGTGTGGGCATGCTCATTAGTGTATTTACACTTTCATTGCAGAGGCGCTTTATATTCAGTGTCCTCCTCCGCCTCTTCAGTTGTCTGCTTGCACATGAAAGGAGGACTGTGTAGGTAGTAGTATGATTTCTGTTTGATGTTGCTTTCCACGCAAGACCTGGTGGGGTGTAATGGGAGCACCATTATCGTACAGTTGCCATTTGGAGGGGACATACTTGTGATGTTGAAGTGTGTAGTGAGATACCCCTTTCCCCCATCAAGTAGGCCTATATGGAAAAATAACTTTCCAATTTCCAGTCCATATGATAAGGGATTCCCCTTTGCCTCTGATTTCCAGTCTCCACTACAGTACGTTTCTACTGTATTCCCCAGGAGAGGCTTTTATACTGCAGGAAAGCATAAAATAAAGGCTGCAGTTGAGAGGCACTGACTGGGAGATGAAGAAAAGTGGGAGTACTTAACTCCACCCCCTTCCTGTTTTATCAACCCCAATTGTCCCTGCTTTCATGTTTGAAGTCACACAAGAGAAGTCCAATCAGTGCGCTTGGACTTCCTCGGTTCTCTTCCCCAGCTCCTCCCCTTCCCTGAGTCCCTTATATATTCCCAGTCACTACGTTCAGCAGAGTGTACAATGTGCTGCCAGAGAGCCAGCAGGCAGTGGACAGAAAAACAGCCAGACAGGGAGGGAGAGGAGGGGAACGTGTGAGTGGATTTTAGCGCTGACTTAGAAGCCTTCATCTTACACGCTCCGGTCATTTCTCTGGTCTCATGCAGACCTCCTTCTCCTTTCACTCTCTTTTTGCCCTTCTCTGGATCTTTCTGTTTCTCCAGACCAGAGCTGATTACAAACAGGATCCGTGAGGCTTCACTGCAGCTGGGTTTCAACATCCAACAGCCTACGCCATCAGGATGGGCTGTACAACGGGTCATCTGGCTTGTCAACCTCAGCCGCACACTAACTTGGTGCAGGAGGGTCAGAACCTGGAGGATGGTGGTGCCAAAGTCCCTGAGGTGATCTCATCTCTGGAGCGTCTGTCCCAGGCCACTGGAGGCATGGAAAAGTCCTGGTACCGCTGCATCTTTCCATTTGGAATAATTTCTTTGGTGATTGGGGTAGCAGGAACAGGGGTGACCTACACCTATAATGACTTGCCTCAGGCTAAAGTGGTGTCAGTGGTGTTACTTGTCATGGGTCTTTTGCTGTTGCTGATGGCAACTGCCTGTTGGACTGTCCACAAGAAGAAGAGAAGGAAAAAGAAAGAGGGAGGTTCCTTCACCTCTGAGCAGTGTCCCCTGTGAAGCATGTGGGAAAACAGTTATAGGAATTTGAAAAGAGAGACATACCCAGTGCTGGGAACTCCCTGGGTTGGCTAAAGCAGTTTCTACATAACCTTCTCCCAGCGCCAAATCCCCCCAATTCTTTACCACAGAGTTTGGCTCAGCTCATACTGGAGGGAACATGGGCTGAGGAATCATAGAGAATAGAAGGACAGATAGACAGGACACTGAGGATCTGTTTAGTCTGTAAGGTCTGGACCATTTTGAATTGGCAAGGAGGGATCATCAGTGCCTCATGCTCTTTTATCAGCAGGCGTCCACTGTCAAAACACCCTGAGAAGAGACATACACAAATATGCAATGCACACCGCATGTATATTTACAGGCATGGATATATGGCCCTCACAGTTCTTGCTCACATATGCATTAGCAGTCACAGTGGGAGCTTGCGCAGACACCAAACACACTGTGTGGAGCTGCTGTTGCAGTCAGTGCTGGCGTCACTAGGCATGTCAGTCACAGCATTCCTCCTTCCAGGACAGGTGACTCTCCAAGAGGCCAGAAGTGGGCCAAAGACAGTAACCTGATACCCAGCTGAAAAAGCAGCGCACCCGCGTCAGCAGCTAGCGTCATTCATTTGTCCTGTGACACCGCAGCAATGTGTTGGGGGCTTTTTTTATGCAATGAGAGAGTGGAACTTGAATCCAGCAGGATCTTAGAGGCATCTATGTGGACGATGAGCTGGAGAGGGCAGGGGATCTACTGGAGAAGTGGAAGTTGTTTGTGCTCAAATCAAGATTTTACTGAACTGAAAGACCATTGGACCTTGGTCTTCACTACTATGGAAGAAAAGATTTGCACATATGACCATGTCCATGGCCAAGCAAGAGAAATTCTAGTAAAGCATCATATTCTAAACAGCCTTTTGTAGCTTCAGTTTCACATTACAAAGGAGTGGGGCACTGACATTTTGACTGTCTGATTGCCTTCCTGTTGATGTGCAAGCATCCAGACTTGTGTTTTCGTGGGGCACCCTGATTCTACCCTAGGCAGGCCAGGATTATTGAATGACACTGCCTGAGGGGATTTGCCACTGCAGGGACACTTTGGCTGATC